CCTATGTGCCAGTTGGAATAATGTGTAATAATGTTTGATATATGTTGAAATATTTTCTAATTCCTCCTCTAGTACTATTTTGAAATGAATTTTAACTTCTATTAGTTTTACTTACAAACATTCTCTACATTGAGAAAAGGCCCCCAGTGGTTTTTACGGTCCCAATAAACTTAAAATAAATAAAATAAATAAAATAAAATAACAAAATTAAATTAAACATCCTTATTCAAGAATCATAAAATAATGAGTAGGCTGTGCTCCCTTTTAAATAAATATACATGGAAGTGTTTCACAACAAATGTTTTTAAACAATGCTAAACATTGTCTCTGAAAAATCCCTTAGAGATACATTTTTAGTTAGCAGATTAGATGTGTTACTGGGCTTTATTTCTTTAATGTAAAGTTTGGTACCAAAGGCAGAAATAAGATGGAAGAATAAGGATGGGTTCCTACACCATAATAAAGAGTAGTTCAATATGCTTCAGCAAACTTTTATTCAAAATTAATAATATACATGTGTAAAATAAAACAGCCAAACCAGGTAAGCCTTGAATAAATAGACAAAAACATATTGAACCTTCTAGAAATCCCTTGAAGGTTTCTTCCAAAGTATATCCAAGAATGACTTTTTTAAATACTAGCCCCCACTTTTCTTATGATTTCTGTTTTGGTGGCTAGACTTACAGATCTATGCTTTTTAAACATATGATGGGGAGCTGGTGAGATAGGTTTATTTGCCTTTTACTTTTCTCTCTGTTTCACTGCTCATGTATGGGCAGTAAGCATGCTCATGCTCATGCCTACGGTACATTATACATTGCATACAGTAAGAACGGAATCCCATTCTATCTCAGTACAAGCTTTATTGCAATGTTTACTGAAAATTGTTCTGTTGTTGTATACCTTCAAGACATTTCCAATGTGTAGTGTTTCTAAGACTTTAACAAGGTTTTCTTGGCAAGATTTGTTCAGAGGAGGTTTGTCTTTGCCTTCCTCTGAGGCTGAGAGAGATTTGCCCGAGGTCACCCACTGGGTTTTTGAGCAGGGATTCGAACCCTGGTCTCTAGAGTCAAATTCTAAAGCTCGAACCACTACACCATGCAATTGTAACTCAGCATCAAAAGTTGTCATTTCTCCAGCCCTCCTTCACCATCCTCCCAATGCTGCCAAAATCATCAAACTAGACAGAGGATGAAGAGAAAAAGCAGGGCTGGACAGGCATTAAAAATATTTTGTAAAACGGAGCTTCACTATCAGAGGCTTTGTTAACTGAGGTGTCCTTTTATCAATTTAATAGTAATACCAAATAGTAATACCAAATAGTAAAATTCAAATAATAAAATAAGCAGTTTGTGTGTGCCTATTGATTATGGGATGCAAATATGGTTATACTCATCTACCAGTTTTATAGGTAAACTTCATCTGAAAACCTAGATACATTTTATTATGGTATGAATTCACCCCTTGATTTATTTAATGGCACTGCTGTTATTCTTTCATGCTGAGAAAGGGTAGTGTATTTGAATCGAATGTGTCCATTTCGTACTCTTTTGCATGCCTTCTGGACTATATAATTTCAAAACTCTTCCTGAGCATGGAACTTCTATAAAAATGGAAATAGTTTTGAACTGCCCACCAGCTTGAATGCTGCTCATGAATCACTTGTTTGCCACTAAGATCTGCTTTACCTCTCACAACCAATCTGCAGAGACTGGTTATCCTTGTATCACTTTGAAATGCCTTTCCCAAGTTCTCTCTCACTGCATTTATTGTATTTTATTTGAAAGCAAATCTTTGTTGGTGGAATATTATTCAGGAATCACTCTTCTTAAAAACAGGTGCTGCTTCATCTCAATGAATTGCACAATCCACTGGTTCTTTCATAAATAAAGGTCACAAAGCTTTCAAGTGACACAATGATATCAGGTTTATGGGCTGAGTGTGCTGCCTGTTATCAGAAATCTCACTGTGATTTTTGGAAGCAGGTTCCTAGTATCCCATGTTAACTTTCCTTGCCAAGAACAAGGTCGTATCACATCTACTAAACAGAGGCTTGTGCACCTGAGAATATCCAAGTGAGGAGCTTGAATTATGCGCAATGAAGATTTGGGGGTTTAGTTTGGGGTAGCCTAAAGATTATCTAGAAGTCCATATCTCTGTTTTCATATTTCTTTCTGCATTGGATCCAGACTTGGTAAACCAATAAAAATTAAGAAAGCAAGTTAGTCATGACTAATTTAACTCCTATTAATTAAATGAGCCTCCTCAAAACATGAGTAAGATCCAATCAATTGAATATTATTTCATGCTTGGAATCCTCCTTTTCTCTGAGGAAGCATTTTACTGGATGTGATGCTCTGACTTTCCCTGAGGTTTGGATACATGATTAGGAGTGAGAGTTAATTTTGCATGCAACATCTCCCTGTCCCCTCCGCATTCCATATTAATTTGTATATATTGTGGCTATTGTTGGCATAGTAGTATTCGGCTTGACAGGGTCGAGCATGCTGTCACAGTGTTTGGATAGATGTGATGCTGTGGTCAGTCATAGGTAAAGGTATTCCCCGTTGACAAAGTTGTCAAGTCGTGTCTGACTGTAGGGGGTGGTGCTCATCTCCATTACTAAGCCGAAGAGATAGCATTGTCAGAGTCTACTCTGTGATCATGTGGCCAGCATGATTGCACAGAATGCTATTTACCTTCCCACTGAAGTTTTACCTATTTATCTACTTGCATTTGCATGCTTTTAAACTGCTTGGCTGGCAGAAGTTGGGACTAGTGACAGGAGCTCACCTCATCATGCAGCACCCAAGCCTCAAACTTCCAACCTGCTGATCTTGCCATCAACAGAGTCAGTGTCTTAACCACTTGAGCCACTGCATCAGTCATGATGAATATTATATTGAGGTGAGGGTGACCACAGAAAGCACTGGGGCTGGCTGGCTGAAACTTTTATCCCCATCCAGCAGGTTCTGACTGAAGCAAATTGCTACATCTTGCAGCTTGGCAGGTGTAATATCAAATAAGAGCTCTATAATTTGTGATTATACACAAAATTATGTGACAGGTGGTAGACCTGCTGCTATTTCCCATCTGCTAGGCTGAAAACCTTTCTAATAACAACATTCACCATTATTCATTACATATAGTGTTTTTTTCCCCCTCTTTGCTTGTGGACTAAAATAATAAAACATCTGGAGTCTACCTGTCCCCTTGGGAACACTGTTTACAAGGACCCATTTTTTAAAAAAAGAAGTATAATTAAGTATAAATATGCAGAGTTTCATATTTTTAACTCAAAGTACATGATTTTAGGCTTAACACCTTGTAGTGTTTTACCATGCTGCACCACAAGCTGGTCCCCTACCTAGCACCTCAAAGAACAATCCATCTGTACAGTAATGACTGGTGGCTCTCACTAAACTGGGCTTTAGTCCAAATTTAAAGGAAAGCACCATTCCAATGTGCTGAACCTATGGGAGGCGATAGAGTTCAGAAACTTGGGGAGGTCCTTTAAAGTCTGGACTGGAACCTGGCACGGATTCCCCACCTTACTGACATGGGAGTCACCAACTGACATTGTCTATTCATCAGTATCAATCAGTTCCTTCCATTGCAACTTTTCATGGCTACTAATATTTTGTTTGCTTGGTTTAAAAAAAAATTCTGACACTTTCTGGGATGTTTCAGTGGTTTTCTGTCAAACAGTGAAACTAAATAGCCTTTTCTCCCTTGGGTCCCCCCACCCTCCATTCATATACTTTTAGTAGCCGTGTTACAGAAATGAAGACTCTAGCCAAATGGTGTGACGGGGCTCTATAAAAATGGAAATAGCTTTGAACTGCCCACCAGCCTGAATGCTGCCCATGAATCACTGCAGGAACCCTTCCACAAGTGACAGATATGGTTTCTTTCTCCTGTAAAAAGAGACCTGTCTTCACGGCAAGTTCTACAAAAGTCAATTGCTATAAATTGCAACATGATAACCTGTCACAGGTTGGGACACTGAGGGCACAAATACTATTATTTCAATGCAATCGCAATGTGGCAAAAGTTAATAAAATGTATGTCACCCCCAAAGCAATTGTACCCGCAAGGTAACAAAGTGTCACACTTCAATGCACAAAACAAGGTATGCAGCATAAATTCTTCTCAGAAATCTACTTCACTTGCCTCTATGGCTGGCTTAAAAATAAACAAGCACTTGAAGAGAGAGGAGAAAGGCTTTTGCAAATTAATAAATGCTGGCTGCATTTTGGCTTTCTTCTTCTTCTTCTTCTTCTTCTTCTTCTTCTTCTTCTTCT